TTGGTCGGTATCTTGAACGTCTGCGACTTGAAATTGTGGTTGCGCGCTCCGAGCGAAAGATCGCCCACCGCCGACATGATGGTAGAGGTTTCCACCTCGGCAGTCAGGCGCCGGCGGTCAACTTCATGCAGGGACTCCTGCTGGAAGAATATAGATCGGACAACTTCCACCTCGTTGCGCTTGTCCGTGCCCTGTCGGATGCTTTCCCGGACCCGTCTGGCGGTTTCCACCTCGCGTCGCTTCGTATCCGCCTCGACTCTCAGCTCTCGCACCTGTGTCTTGCTCTTGCTGAGAAGGTTGCGCAAAAAGACTTTGGCCGCCTCGTCGGTGATGAGAGCGTCGTCGTCGTGCCAGATTGGGCTCGGCTCGAAGGTCATGTTGGCCGGCTCCTGTGATTGTGTGACGTTGTGGCGCAGGAACATGAGCGAGTCCAGGTGTGGAACGTTGCGCGGAATCTCATTGATGAGGTTTGCCATGTGGTCCATACTCTTCGACAGGTAATTCTTCTCGAGTTGTGCGGCCAATGTCCAGAGCGAGTTCAGCTTCGTTACACGTGTTTCGTTAAGGTCTTGCAGGCCCTACCCGGGATATTAGCAGATTGGATCCAACCAGTCAAAGCACACCTACATCAAGTAGCTCCGGCACATATTCGTGGTAGAATCGCTCTTTCATCTTGTTCGTCACATTAATACTGATGAGATATGTGTTCTGCAATGCCGTCAGCAATAGTCTTTGGCATCATCGTAGTAACCGACCTTAACGTTGTTCATCTCCAATATCTGCTGTTGGTACGCTGCCTGGGCCTTAGGCTTACTGTGGTCGAACGAAGATTCCATCTTCTTCCGCCTTGCCTCCACTTCCTGGCACGCGCCATCATATTTACCCTTCGCCTTCTTCAGGTCACTGTACGAGGAGTCCCTCTCCTTCTCGAGCTTGGCATGGAAATCAACATGACACTTCCTGAGCTCTTCGTACTGGTTCGCAGCTTGTTTGAGCGGCTCTGCGACATGTACAAGCAGGTCGTTACCGAAGTGATCCCGTTCAGTGGCATGCGATTCCACGGCGCTCAATTGTGTCGACCACGTGGTAAGTGAGGCACTCTCGAGGGAGCCCGGGGTCATGCTAGGGGTGTCTCCGACACTCAAACTGCTGATTTTCTTGGCTTTGCGGTCGTAGTACTTCTTGCATAGCGCCGTTAACTTTGCCGCATACTCCTTCTCGATTGCGCTGCGCTCGCGGTAAAACTGTTGTATCTCATCCAGCCATCCGATACCATTCGACACCTAGCAAGCATTCTCTTAGTTCTCGATGAATAAGATTTCGGCGATCATCCGGGGTATTCAGCTGGAAGGGATAAGGAGGCGGGAAGAGGGAAGTAAGTGCCTACCCAATTGTTGACCGGTTTAAACGAATCCTGCCAAGGTCCTCGATTAGCTGGAATCTGGGGTTGATGCGACAGAGTTATGTCATACCTTCAACTCCGCGCCAAAGTGAGGGGCGACATCCGGGGTAGCCATTCTGATAGATGGTCAGCTTAACGGAGGTCACGCCGCAGGGAGACAGGCGGAGATGCGACATGGAAGACTCAAAAATGCGTCGGCCTAGCGAGTCGCGAGTCCAACCAGGAGAGCGAATGGAGCAGCCTAACTTACCTTCCACGTGCGGAACAGCCGTTGGCGACCGTGTGTGCTCCGTAGTCCGTACAACCGGATGGTGGGTAGGGGGGGATCGGGGAACCAGGAATCGTTGCCAGACGCGGCTGGAATGGCTGGAGAGCGATGAGGAAGCGGGGAAGATGACCATACAGGACAGCCTCTGGCTGCCTGTCAGGCCACGTTGAGCCTCCATTGCCTGGCCGGAGGCTCCCTACGTCATCCCCATTTGGGCTGGCAACCGTATGGTATCGTAAGTGGTATCCCTCGACTCTTACCGCCTCCCGATATGGTTAGACTGCAGCGACTCGGCTGCTGGCCCAAACAGGCCTAGTGTCGATTCAAGGCGGTCAGCCGCGTTGGTTTTTCGACCGTCATGGTGATGGAGCTTCCCTTAGCCATTGCTGCTTTGCCTGGGTGTTGAACGATCAATCGCCCTTCCTCTTCCATCATCTAACTGGGCACCGTGGTGAACGTGTCATTCTTTTCTCGTGTGCGCTTCATTTGCTGTGTTGAGCGGTTGATTCCTGTTTCAGCGCGCTGTTGATTACCCCGCCATCTCCCCTCCGTCTGGGAAACACGAACAACAACTTGCATCCGAAACATCTCTCCTAACCCCTTACCTATACGTCCTTCACAGTTCTTCTATACATCATCAGGATGGCGTCTGAAGAACCCGCTGCCGGTTCTCTTGCGGACCGCATCACCAAGCCCGAGGAATCTGCCCCTGCCGGTACGATACTAGTCTACTTCTATGCCACCGCTCGTTTCACTTTCATGTCACTCTCTTACCAGACCCTACTGGACCCTGACTTATACGATCATTTCTTGCAGAAGCTCCCGAACAGACCGAAGACATTCCTCAGACCGATGGCGCCGCTGCCCAGCAGGGTGGCTCCGACCTTCATGAGCCTGACTACACCGTTGAAGTCAAGCTCAGCGATCTCCAGGCCGACCCGAATAACCCCCTTTTCTCCGTGAAGAACTTTGAAGATCTCGGCCTGTGCGTGCATTCGTGAATTCCGGTTGTTATACTGCTACACTACGGTACTAACCCGTCATGAAATCAGGGACCCTCGTATTCTCCAGGGATTGTCGGCAATGAACTTCCGGAAACCCTCCAAGATCCAAGAGAGAGCCCTCCCGCTGCTACTTGGCAACCCCGCGAAGAATCTGGTCGGTCAGTCCCAGTCCGGTACTGGAAAGACTGCGGCATTCGTCCTGAACATCCTCAGTCGCTTGGACCTCTCGTCGGAGCAGTTGCAAAAGACCCCCCAGGCGTTGATCCTGGCCCCCACACGAGAGCTGGCTCGTCAGATTGTTGGTGTCATTCAAGTGATGGGCCAGTTCCTTGATGGTCTTGTTATTGGTACCGCCGTGCCGGCAGATACCGGCGCTCGTCCCGCCAAAATGGAGTGCTCCGTCGTTGTGGGTACCCCTGGTACTGTGATGGACATGATTAAGAGGCGCATCATGGTTGCGAACAAGCTCCGCGTGCTTGTTCTGGATGAGGCCGACAACATGCTCGACCAGCAGGGTCTGGGCGACCAATGTATCCGTGTGAAGGCGTAGGTCGCTCTATTCTCACTTTTCGCGCCACGCGTGCTAACGTCTATTCAGTCTTTTGCCTAGAGATATTCAGGTCGTGCTCTTTTCGGCTACCTTCCCTGCTCACGTGCACGAATATGCGTCCAAGTTCGCCCCCCAGGCCAACGAGATCACCCTCCAGCATGAGGAGTTGACGGTCGAGGGTATTAAGCAGCTGTACCTGGACTGCTCGAATGACGAGGACAAGTACCAGACTCTTGTCAACCTCTACGGTCTGCTCACCGTCGGCTCGTCTATCATTTTCGTCAAGGTTTGTACACATCCTCTACGACATTGCAGTTACTCTAACGCAGGATTAGACCCGTGCCTCCGCCCAGGAGATCGAAAAGCGCATGGTTGCCGAGGGTCACACCGTGGCCTCCCTGACCGGTGGCATTGAAGGATCGCAGCGTGACGCAGTCATTGACCAATTCCGTGCCGGACACGCGAAGGTCTTGATTACGACCAACGTGCTTGCCCGTGGTATTGATGTCTCCACTGTGTCCATGGTTATCAACTACGTAAGCCGTGTCCTTTTATGATGATTGTAAAAGTTTCAATGCTAATGATGCATTTTTTTCATGGATAGGATATCCCTGAGCTGCACCAACCCGGCGCCCGTCAACGACAGGCCGACTTCCAGACCTACCTGCACCGAATTGGCCGTACGGGACGTTTCGGCCGCGTGGGTGTATCCATCTCTTTTGTGTCCAACCGGGAAGAGTGGGAGATGCTCAACCAGATTCAGCGATACTTCAACACCAACATCCAGCGGATTGACACTAAGGACTGGGACGAGGTGGAGGACATTATCAAGAAGACTATCAAGAGCTCTCGTGCTCAGCTCGGCTTCCGGTAGAGCGTATCCGACACATCCTCGACGCGACGCCGCTGACCGATGGCGGCCGATCAACCCGGGTCGATTGGAAGAGATTGGATTAAGATATGACTATGGTGAAATGTGGATTGCTTATGAAGAGTTATGAGGATTTCTTTGTGTTCAAATGAAAGTCAGATTAATAGATACCAGTTGCTTGCTCAACCTATGGGTGTTTTGGTGGTTTCGGGTCATCATTTCCAGCCAACCATGACATAGTTCCTTACCGGTAGCCGGACAGGGGAGGGCCATGTGACCGGGGGGAGTCTCGTGATTCGGTGTCCCAACGATGCCACAAATCGGCTAAGCATGGAAGGAGAACCCGTAGCCATGGAATCGGTCGCTCATTCATTGGAGATGATGGCCGAAGTAGCTAGTACCTCAGCTCCCTTGTAGCATTTTCGCCGCGCTTCCCCGCGGAACTCCAGCCGGACCGGAATGAGGGGTCGATCATCCGCATCGCCCTCGGCGTCATCGTGCATCCGCAACTTGACCGCGAGTCGGATTGCAAAACAAAATAACCGCCGATCTGGCTGTTGTTCCATTATGATCTCGTTTTAATTAGCAAGACAACCGGTATGATAGACCGGACAACCATGGTTCAGTCTACGCCTGACCCAAACCGGGGATAGATAAGGCCAGGCCAGGGGGCGTGAACGATAGGAGGCAGTGCGGAGAATGAGGGAGAGATGAGGCCGTAAGATTGAGATTCGGGCCCAAGTCACATGCAGCTGGCATGCAGCGACACCCATCGTCGCCCTGTTTTCTTGTCCCCTCCTCTCCTCATTTCATCTCGCTCTTCTCTCTTCCCTTCTTCATCCTCTTCATCCCATCTCCCCTGTTTCTTCATAGCCTATTCCTTCCCCGCATTGTCATCCAGCACCATGTTGGAGACCGATACCTCCATCAAGCCCACGTCCGACGAGGCGACAGCCCAGTCACCGACTACCCCAACCTCGCCGACTCAGTCCAACTCTCGTTACAGTACGCATATTGTGGTAAGTTTGTGGAGCAGAGTCCGACTGATATGGGCAAGAATCCTTACCTTATGAGCTAGTTGACCACCTACCCCGGCCAAAGTGGCATCGACCCCATCCCGCTCGAATGGGGCGCCCCAGATGCTAAATCCCGCGGCCCCGTCGTTGTCTCCCGTAGCTCCGCATTGCTCAAGCGGCGGAATGCTATGGGCGCTCATGGTGGCAGTTACAGCATCTACAACGCCCTCGCCATTGCCGCCGGTGATTTGGAACCGAACTTCCGTCCTGACCTCAGCAACAGTCAACCTACATTCAACTTCCCATGGCAGCCTGCCTGGGCCGACAAGACCAAGATTGTGTCTATGGACCCGTGGGGACATGACATTGTTAACCAGTTCCGGGACGAGCTAAGCAAGGGCTGGGATATCCGCCCCACAATGGCGGTGACCCGCGCGAACATGAACTTTGCGGAGATCGCCGACGCGGTGAAGGAGGGGAAGCTCGATGTGGACGGTTCCATTGTGGTTGACTCCTCCGGTGAAGTGCGCGTTACTAAAGTCGCCGTCGAACCGGTCTGGTATTTGCCTGGTGTTGCAGAGCGGTTCGGAGTTGATGAGGGGACGCTGCGACGGACACTATTCGAGCATACGGGCGGAAGTTATCCCGAGCTGATCACCCGGCCCGATCTGAAGATCTTCCTCCCTCCCATTGGAGGTCTGACGGTGTATATCTTTGGGCCACCGGAGCGGGTGTCCGACGAGAATGTGAAACTAGCATTGCGTATTCACGACGAATGCAACGGCAGTGATGTCTTCCAATCGGATATTTGCACATGCCGACCGTACCTTGCATTTGGTATTCGGGAGGCGATTCGCGAAGCCCAAAGTGGAGGCAGTGGAGTGGTCATCTACTTCCGAAAGGAAGGTCGGGCCTTGGGTGAGGTTATCAAGTACTTGGTCTACAATGCCCGCAAGCGCGGCGGCGACACTGCCGACAAGTACTTTACGCGGACGGAGAACATTGCCGGTGTTAGAGATGTAAGCTGTTTACCAAACCTCAAAATAGAACATCAGACTAACTTTGATCCTAGATGCGCTTCCAAGCGCTGATGCCAGACATCTTGCACTGGCTCGGCATTAAGAAGATCGACCGCATGCTATCCATGTCCAACATGAAGCACGACGCCATTGTCGAGTCAGGAATAAAGATCCTGGAGCGTATCCCGATCCCAGACGAGATGATCCCTCAGGATTCGCGCGTCGAAATCGATGCGAAGATCAATGCTGGCTACTTCACAACCGGGAAGAATGTCACAGCAGAAGACTTGGCTGCTGTGCGCGGACGCGGATGGGAGAAGTGGGAGGACATCACGGTATGTTCTGTCATTAGAATGGATCTTGATGAGGACCTTGCTGACAAGTCTAGCACTGATTGGGGTTTCAACCTACACTTACGACGAACTATGAAATTTCGGGTGCATCATTACAGTTTGGCTGGTGACGACGCATAGCTTGCGCAGCATTTCGGGTTATGGAGCGATATTTGCCTGCATGAGCTATTAAATATAAGAGATGTAGAAAATAAAAAAAAGGTCAAAATGGGCAACCATCTATTGCCTGGTAAATCGAAAAGGGTATATAGTATCAACTATCGTAGTATACACCACCCACAGGTCCAACTGACCTCCTCATTCTATACCATCACTCTCATTTGAAATCCTTGTGCCTCCTTCATTACCCACACCGCCATGATCCCCCTTCAACGCCACCCCGGATAACATATGGAACTTCTTCTTCCGTTTATCTAGTAGTCATAATCAGCACACTAAACCCTTCCCAGACCAGAATATTAAACTCACCGGCACAAACTTCTCTCACACCCCGCGTCACAACCGTAACACACGCAGCCAGGATCCCCACATTTATCTCGACCACAGCCCACAGAGCTAGTAAAGTAAATTCATGCATGAAAGATAACCTGCTCTCTTCCGCATTGCTGTTGTATGACACGACTATAGTGAAATATGTCCTTACGATGGAAATGGTGGTTACGCTATGCATCACTTTCATTAGTACACACACCCGGAAAAGGAACCTAGTATGAGAGGAGAGGAACAAGACATACTATACACCGACAATGTAAAGCCCGATCATCCCTATCTTCCTCCCTATCCACATGTTCAACCCTGCAATGACAGGTATAGGGATGAGGGTTAATAATACATTGATGATTAGATCCGTGATTGTATACACTGTTAGTAGAATACCCCTATTTGTGCTTGCGCAGGTGTTACTGATATTGACATCCTCTATCGATGACCATGTACGAGAAACATGGCCCCCGCACTGGAGAATCGTTGCTAGGATGAATGCGACCATCCACACCGTCACGGCACCAATGAGGAACGTACATAGTCGATGAACAGGATGGGTACTGAAGACGCGTTTCCATAAAGTGAAGAAACTCAGCTTGGTCAGGCCGAGGGCGATGATCTCGATGACTTGAAGGGCGAGTTGATATTTCCTTGCTGCAACTTCAGTTTGAGCTGTGGGTTGGGTGTAGTTTGCGATGATGTCGCGGGATGTTCCTGCTAGTAGAGTACTATTGTATACCAAGGTGCATATCTGTGTAGAATGTTAGATACTTTGATTGCAACATAGCTTGTTGGCTATTGGACACTGCCAGGCTTACTTACCAGTGCAGCAAGCGCTAGCCAGTCATCTGCGAGCAGGTCCAGTCGCGCTAGTCTTCGCGCGTAGAATCGAAGTGTCACGGCCGATAGAGAAGTCACGGTAAACACTGAGGTTACTGCTAGGAGCGCGGTGGAACTCGGGGCGCTGGGGGTTGCCCACTCGTGAGCCATGGCCGGCTGATGTGTCGTATCCTGGCGGGAGCCAGGATTGGTGAGGTAGGGTCTGGTGTCTTTGGAGACGGACGGAAAATATCTAGGCTATCATGGTAGTTGGTATTTCGATGACTACCTTTCCATGTGAGTATCTACCGCGTGCTTGAAGGTGACATGGTAAGATGAGGACATTTGGGGAGAGCTGCGGTGCAGGATGACGGCGCTAAGACTAGGCTGAGGCTTTGCCGTGGCTGATGTTGGACCCTTGCAGTTGGGGGCCATTTCTGCATCATTCTTTTTAAACTTTTCAAGTATAGTGTGTTTAGCAGATGGTGGTTAGATCATGCTATCTGGGATTTAAGTTCCATGCCATGCATTAGTATCTGGAAAATGTGAATGTGGAGGGTGCAAGTACCACTGTTTCCAGGCTATATATTTAACAGTAGTTGCCACCACCGTTGCAGCCACTACAACGCAACTCAGTGGAGTCCGGCGCATATACTAACCATGTTTAAATCCAAATAACCGCATCATCAACCCCTCAGTTCTAATCCCCGCACCCACTCCGATATCGTTGAGTGTCAAACAGCATTCGGACTGATTGCCCGCTGATAAGTGTTCGGGAAGACATCCCGACCGGATTCTTTTCCGTCCCCACAGCCTTCAAGTATATAATCAGCTTCCCACCAGCACGTCATTGACAGAATACTCACTCAATTGATACCCTTATTTCCTAAAGACATACCACATAGAATCCATAGAGTCTCAGAATCACCATGGGCTCCTCCGTCACCGTCACCCCCCAACCTCGCATCCCCAAAGCCGGCGTCTGGTGTCCTGCCGTGACCTTCTTCGACCACAGCACCGATACCCTCGACCTCGATGCCCAGAAGAAATACTACCAGTACCTCTCGACGACTGGCCTGGCGGGCCTAGTCATCCTCGGTACCAACTCCGAAGCCTTCCTCCTCACCCGTGAAGAACGCGCCCAACTCATCGCCACGGCCCGTGCCGCCGTTGGCCCCGACTACCCCCTCATGGCCGGCTGCGGTGCTCACTCCACCAAGCAAGTGCTCGAATTGGCCGAAGACGCCGCCGCCGCGGGCGCAAACTACATCCTCGTCCTGCCCCCCGCTTACTTTGGCAAAGCCACGACCCCGGCCGTCGTGAAGCGCTTCTTTGCTGATGTCGCGCGCAAGAGTCCCCTGCCCGTCGTGGTGTACAACTTCCCGGGTGTCTGTAACGGGGTGGATCTGGACTCGGAGACCATCACCGCCATCGTGCGCGAGTCGGCGGCATCGAGCGGTAATGGGGTCTCGAATGTGGTGGGTGTCAAGTTGACCTGTGGGTCGGTGGGCAAGATTACCAGGCTGGCGGCCACCTTCTCCAAGGAGGAGTTTGCCATCTATGGTGGACAATCCGATTTCTTGATCGGTGGTCTGGCTGCGGGCTCTGCTGGGTGCATTGCTGCTTTTGCCAATGTATTCCCCAAGACGGCGTCGAAGATCTATGACCTTTATGTCGCTGGTAAGATTCAGGAGGCAGTTGAGCTGCAGCGCCAGGCAGCGCTGGCAGAGAGCCCCTGCAAGAGTGGAATCGCTGCCACCAAGTACGCAGCTGCGATCTTCTCGGCTCGTGCGGCAGGTATTGAGGGGGCAGAGGAGAAGCTGAAGCCCCGGACACCGTATGAGGAGCCGGCGGAGGGTGCGAAGAAGGGAGTACAGGACTTGATGAGCGCGGTGGCAAAGGTTGAAGGAAGTATATAAATGTACCTGTCAAAATATGAAGATATGAATATGCGATGCGAACCATAAAATATTTTACCCCAGATTTGGACCGACCAATCACCTGATCTGTTTGCTTTCGTTGTCTGTCCAGCTTTACTCGTCTTTACTACCTTCCCAAATCCATCCTAATTCTACAATCTCCTCTCAAGGACGTCACCGAGCATTCTAGGGTCCATTAACTAATACACACCATGTCTTCCCTGCTGACCCAACTTCCCTCTCCTCGATGTCTTTCGCATAGCCCTGTTTGAAATACCACATTAACATCAGTCGAAAGATAAAGGCCTTATTTCTTTCCTCGCCCTAAGTGAAAATGGAAGATTTCGCACTTTACCACGATGCAATGATTGCAATCGTATTGAAGTCACATGCTATCCCAGATCGCAGCTCAGCCACGTTGTGACAAGTGACGATCCCTTGCACTGCCACTCTTACTATCTCTCTCACATCCCCACACATAACTCTATCACGATTCTTCTTCTGCATCCGCCCACAGTTCAGTTTAATGCAGAACTATACAGTAATATATCCACTCTTAAGCTACTCCTCCACTTGTCTTACTTATGGGCCTCCAGAAACAGCTATGGCTCGGAAAGCCCATTCCCTGCTAAAATATATTCCCGGGGCTTCCCCAAAGATAAATGGGCGAAAAGAAAAGTCCAAGGAGTCGTTGGAACCCACCAATCGCCAAGACAGCCCTGATTCAAGATGCATCTTTGTACTCGAAGATCCAGCCGATTTCCCGCGCTGGAAGGGCATGGTCGAGCGATTACTCCAGGTGCGGTATGACCTTGGTGATGGAAATACGTCAACATATCTTAGGAAGGACTACAATTTCTTATGGGAATATGTACCGCGTCACTTCCATCACCACTTCCCTCATTCGAGAGAGTTGGGCAGTTGGGTGGCTGAAGAGCTGTTTTCGACGCTTTGGGAAGCTGTCCATGAATGGGCCGTCAATTGCACTATTTGCGGGCTTGTCAGACGCAAGGTCCTCTCAAATCCACTGGATCCCGTTAAGGCCAGAGAACACCCCACGAGTCGTTTTCTTCTAAAGTCAAAGGGCGGAAAGCGTTGCCAATATTGCAGTTTGGTTTATCAGTGTCTCCAAGCCTACTACCCATCATTCGAGACACATGAAAACACTCTGGTGGTAGGAATCTATCCAAATACCGGTGGTTTTTCCCTTCTTATCAGAAATACTCAGACAACCTCCTGGATAGAGTCCACATTATGGGCCGAAGCCTTTCCCGGTAAGTAACGCCATTCGCCAATACTGGAACTAGCAAATAATGATCTCCTCTAAAAGAAAGCAAGAAAAAGGAAATAGACGATCACCAAGCCACCTCAGTGTTTGACACATCAAGCGAAAGCTCGTTTGAGTGGATTCTAAACAGACTACCTCGCGCTAGTGGTGACCTGACACTGTCTAGTTTCATGCCTAGACGCTTGATATATGTAGGAGATCGCGCCTCAACCCCAGTCCTCGTGGACAGGCCAGAAGAGATATTCCCGTACTGTGCTTTGAGCTATTGCGGGGTTCCTACACAAGCCAATTTGAAAACTACCAAAGACATCTTAAAAAAGCACTATAATCATATTGACAAGGAGCATATGCCAAAGGTTAGTTTTGCTCAGACTTCCGACCGGACCTTTCAAGATTAAGAGACTAATATTTCGCCATAGACAGTGCAAGACGCAGTTGAGGTCTGTTGGCGTCTTGGAATAAAGTATCTTTGGGTTGATGCGCTATGCATTATCCAGGACGACGCAATAGGAGCTGACTGGTATGAGCAAAGCTCAGAAATGGACCAAATCTACTCCAGCGCACATGTAGTGATTGCGGCAGATACTGCTGAGGATTGCTCTGAAGGGTTCCTGGGAACTTCTCACATTCAACAACTTCGAGAAGTCACTGTTGATTGGGACGGCGACACATACATCTGTCAAGAAAAGCCGAACGGCCAGCGTGACGATCCTAGCTTTCTTCTAAGCCGAACACCACTCTCGCGGCGCGCTTGGACACTACAGGAAACGCTTCTTCCCAGTCGAGTTCTCCATTACACTGGCACGGAGATTGTCTTACGGCTTGGCGACACCTTCTATTGCCAATGTGGCGAGTGCAGATTCCATCACGTCGGCATCAACCAGTCAGACTGGCACCAAATTGTCTCCCACTATTCCTTCCGCCAAATGACCATGCCCTCGGACAAGCTAAGTGCCTTATCTGGACTAGCAGCTCGTATGTCAGACGGAGATAGGGAGTATCTAGCAGGGTTGTGGTCAGACACATTGGTCACAGATCTCCTCTCGTACGTAACCGGATCTGGACTTCATGTGCGACCTGACCCCTGGAGGGCCCCGACGTGGTCCTGGGCCTCGATTGATGGAGGCATCAGTTACTTCACTCGCTTCTCATACTACGACTTTCTCCCCGCATTGGATATCGTGCAAGCCGAGTGCTCATGCACAAGTGTGAATATTTTCGGCCCGGTTTCCTCGGGATTTATTGACTTGAGGGGTAAGCTTGTCCCCGTCGAGATGGTCATCTTGGATAAGCCCTTTACCAAGCACCAAGGCGAGTACACTGGCGAATGGGGACGAGCAACCCGCGTGCATCAAGGCCAGACATCACTTGTACGAGGGTGGGGTACAGATATCTACGAAGTTCTGTGTGACGAGCGCATGGAGCAGACAGATAGAATGGGTGAAGAAGACAGCGAGACTTGGGCTCAGGGCATAGTGGATCGACAAGACCTAGGCGGGATAGTGGCAAGTAACGTCTACTGTCTGGAAGTCGGATCGATTATAGATCGTGTGATAGATGTGGATGGTTTCACCGCACTAGGTCGGAGTTCCAGGGTCTGGTGGCTTGTTTTGAAGAAAGCGGAGAGGGGGGATGAGTTCAAAAGAGTAGGAATAGGTTATAAAAGTAGCAAGGATTTCAAGCGTGACTGTGACTTTTTCGATTCTGCGGAATGGAGTACAGTGCGTCTAGTATAGAACGGGAAACACAGAATCAAATTACCACCTCGAATGCTCATCGTTATATACTAATATATACCTACAACTGAATATATTGGGAATTAATTCTATCTTAGATGCAGCTAGACTGACCACTACACAAGTCTTCATATCAAAGATATCGCTCTAGCCAACCTTGGCACCAAGTTCTATTACTGTACAGATCTCGATCTCTTCACTGCCTCCCGAACATCCTGAAGTGCCCTCTTCTGCCGACCATCTTCATCAAAGTTCCCCTCCTCCAGCCACTGTTCCAATGCTTCCTTAGCCCCTTCCTCCCAGTCATCACGCACCATCGCAAACCAAGCGGTATCCCGACTTCGACCCTTGATGACCATATGCTGCCGGAAAGCACCCTCATAGACGAACCCCAAACGCCGAGCCGCCTTCTGGGAGGTGGCATTCAGCGCGTTGCATTTCCACTCGACTCGACGATAGCGCAGCTCCTCAAAGGCATACCGCGCTAGCAGATAGATCGTCTCAGTGGCAGCCGCAGTGCGTTGCAACACCGGGGAGAACATGACACTCCCGATCTCCACGGTCCAATGTGCCGGAGTGATTCGCATGAGCGAGAGGAACCCGATGGCTTTGCCGCAGCTGGGGCTGGAGACACGCTCGTCGATCACGGCGAAGTAGAACGGGTCGGTGGATTCGGATCGGGAGGTGATGGATTGCTCGAAAGCTGAGCGCTCGGGGAAGGGTCCGTCTAGCATGTAGTCCCATAGCCAGGCGAGCCTTGGGTCGGCTCCACCGATTAGGTCCCAGAGATCGTTGGCATGTTTGGGTTGGAGCTTCTCGAGCTGGATGTATCGCCCGCGGAGAACGGTTGGCGAGGGCCACTGGGCGGGGGTCAGATCGACTGGCGGTCCAAGCGGTCGCGTAGTGGTCATGTTGTAGGACCGTAGGTTTCACAGTTTTTAGGTGGTGGAAGCAATGCGTTTGTTATAATGGCATCAGGAGCATGTGTTGGAGGATTTAAGTTATCTGTAGTCATCTTATTGAACAGTCATACATCCTTGTTTCTCTCCCCTCCAGGAAGTGAGAGTCGTTCTGATTCGGTGGAAACACCGACAATCCGCGGTTGACGTCCACATTGATTGGTCTATATTGTCCGCATGGGCCCATTTGGAGGCTTGGCGTTTACACCCGGTTCTTCAGGCATGACTCATCCTGTTTCTTGCCTGCAATACAAGGCATTCATTTCGGAATATACTGGCAGCATTCTCCGGGATTCGTTCAGAAGCGTTTGGAAGTCTCAAAATTGAACGACTAGGAAGCTGAGTGCAGTAGGATGATGTGGTGAACTATTCTACTAGTCTATCCAGGCTGCAACTTCACTGCTATGTGGTATGTTGAGCTCGCTTGGTCCTTGGGACCTATATTTGACCCCATTTCTGCTCAGGCATCAACTATAGCCCGGGAGTGGCCAAACATCTATCGGCAGGGCCTCACCCACATAGGACAACCATGCCAGCGTCGATGATAGTACTGCTGCTTGTCGACAGTGCGACAGTTATCATGTAGATGGCTTATTCACCCACGAATATCCGTTGGCATCGAATCCGGCGAGGCATCTGTAACCTCCCATGTCTTAGATGAACATTCCCGGCTTTCAGCCAAGCTAACAGCTGCCAACACAATATCAGGGGCAATATGCAGATAGCATCAACGGAGAAGAACGCGCCTCACAAGTCCTGAGGCAAGAGAATGAGTTCGTTGTTGTCATCCCAACATTCACATGTGGATCTCGGCGCAGACATGTCTCATGACTCGCAGCTGTATCCATACACAAATCCCACTGCAGCAGGCTTTCCGCTGTAACCGAACAGCCGCCGGGGTGGAATTGGTCGCGATGGCGCCTCCTGTAACTTGCACCTGTGCTTAGAGCATGGCCATGGACCCAACCCAATGGAGTGTTGCTTCGTATCGGCCCCTGCAGACAGCCAACTCAGTTCGCACGTTTCGAATCTAGTACCCTCCTGGTCTCAATCAGCTATGGTGTTGTTGCCAGCCCTCTCCCCTGAGAGACCCAGAGGATGGACGCTCTCATCAGAAACACATTTGTCTGTGACGAAGACAGAGTGAGGAAACCAACGAGGAGATTCTCCAAATGTTATGTGATTCAGTTGGCCATGACCTTAGTAAGACAGAAGATTCTCCAACGCGTGGGGAATGTGGTTCTCGACGGGGTCCAGTTCTCACGGTCGGGCGACTGGCGTTGTTTTCGGGCTCCATCACGTCTTATGAGACGCTTTTCTTAGCAGTGAGCGGTCGGACGAACTGCTCACGACGAGCAAGGAAAATAGAGGTTCCGTCGTAAATAAATTGAAGGGTGGAAACCCATCTATATGGCGTGGTGGCTGTCAGGGGCAGCCGACAATGGGCCAGTGGGACATTCCCCCGCTGGGGTCCACCCACGGCTTTCACTGGCAGACAAGCATTCCTGGTGGTTTCAGCACTCCAAGACATTCGGATTCCGTTGCCGCCTGGAGTCTTGCCAAGCTGTCAGCTGGCTATACTCATAGCCGCCAAGGTGAGAGGGGGTTATGTTTCAACGAAGAGAAGACAAAGATGCAGAAATCTTCAGGTGTGGTTTGTTTAAGTTGGCGCTGACTGGGATCGTCGATTAGACTCATCCCTGTTGGACCCTATCAGCTAACAAAGCTGATTAGCGCGCATTTCTGTTCCGCACAGGCAGCCATTGCATTGTTAATAAACCCTATACTAGGTATTATTAACCCCGAATTTCTATTCAATTTTCGACTCCCTTGGACTGCTCTCAGTTGAGGGGATTATTACGAGATGATTTGTCAAGCAGAACAAGAATAGACAGAGGCAACCAGCCCTACCCGTGACCCACGCCTCACCCCCAGCCAATTTGATCGTGAAACCAAGACCGTTGAGCCAGGCGCCGGTCGCTTTCTTCGCCCGATTGATTGGACGAGGGGTCACCGGCTGGCTTGGGCCTCGGTAGCCACTCTTCTTGCGCGTCTCGAGTTGATGAGGCAGTAGAGCTGTCGACTGCCCGCCACTGACTCGTCTCGGCACTCTCTCCACCCCTTGCATGCCCTCCCCCCAGCCTATCATGAAGATTCAGAATTCAGTAAAGGCTTTCACTACTCTGCACCACCCCCGCTGACAGGGTCGGTCATCTGCTTTATCTGGCGCTCTGATGGCATCCCGACCACCCTGTCATCTCCGCCGATCCGTTTGCGCCTCCATGTAGTTCTTTACTTAGTAGATAGTATTTGACCGGCGAGATCCGCTCGTTCTCCATCCCGGCTATCCTTGCGTCCATTCTTTCTCTTCTCCATTCTTTCGATCGCTAACTTTATTTTTATCTCAGTTTGCAGTCCTTCATTTGTTTTTCTCCTTCTCTTCTTGCCTCCAGCTAGGGTAATTGTTCTCTTTATGCCATTGTGGCTGGTCCACTCAGTTGACTTTTTACTTTGCATCTTTTCGTTCTCTACACGCTGGGATTCGTCCTTTCATTTCTCTTCCCATTCATTGTGACCCTAACACCGATCCACCATGGACTCCGACTTGTGGTATTCCATGCTCAATGACACCCTCTGCTATGCCAATCTCTGGGTGTTGGCCTGTATGATTGTGGTTGTCTTCGCCTGGCAGTCCTCCGGCCGTCTCTCTGCCCACCTGCGTCGCCTCGCCAGTTTTACCGACCACCGCCAGACCTACCATCGCGTTCCCAATTTCCATGTGGCCTGGTTGAAGAGACACCTTTTGGATGCGCCGCTGCTGCGCTCTCGCCATAACCAGGAATGGCAGCTCTCCCGCGCCGTCAACATGGGCACCCTGCCCAGCCGCTTCCATACCCTGCTCCTGACCGTCATCGTTGTCATGAATATTGTGCTGTGCACCAACACTGTGCCCTATGGATCGAAGGAATCAACTGTTGCAGAGCTGATTCGTAACCGAACTGGTTACATGGCCACCGCCAATCTGTTCCCCTTACTGGTCATGGCTGGCCGCAACAACCCCCTGATCCCGCTTCTGCGCGTTTCGTTCGACACCTGGAATCTGCTGCATCGGTGGTTGGGCCGCATTGTCGTGTTGGAGGGGCTAGCCCATGTCATTGCCTGGGGTGTGCCCAAAGTGCAAACCTGTAGGTCTATTCCAGCTTCCTGGGTTCTAAGGGCTAATGTTGAGCAGATGGGTGGTCAACCGCACTCGGCACCTTGTCGAAACCCTTCATGTTCAATGGTCTCATGGTACGTCCCCACATTTCCTACTAGAAGGCAATCGCTGATGACTTGGCCTATAGGGGATGGTGGCTATGCTCGTCATTCTGGTTCAATCACCTTCTCCCATCCGACATGCCTTCTACGAGACTTTCCTGCATCTCCACATTGGGCTGGCCTGTGTGGCTGTGGGATTTCTCTGGCATCATGTCTACCGTTACTCCTGCCGTTACTATCTTTATGCCGCCATCGCCTTATGGGCGTTTGAAGTAAGTCCCCCTTGCTGCGGATGTTCGTCCGAAATTAGAAACACCGGCTAACCGCGGCTCAGCGACTTGCGCGGTTGCTGATCCTGATCTACCGCAACTATGGCTTTGGTCGCCGCACAACCGCCTATCTGGAGGCGCTGCCTGGCGATGCCGTCCGCGTCACTTTGCAACTCGCTCGTCCCTGGACCTTCTCCCCGGGCCAGTACTGCTTCGTCTACATCCCGAAACTCGGAGCCTGGACCTCGCACCCCTTCTCCATCGCCTGGGGCGAAACCGGTCAGACCTTGCTGGGGTCGTACAGCGAGAAGATGGCCGAGGTGGAGATGGGCAATGACCACGGCCGCCCTGGGCTGGAGTCTCGCAAGGTCAATACGGTTTCCCTGCTCGTGCGACGTCGGACCGGATTTACAGACAAGATGTTTACGGAAGCATTTGCTTACGCCCGCACCCGCTTGCCCCCGGACACGATCAGCACTTCGCCGCGGTCAACTACGACGGATATCTCTACGGCAGCCATGCCGGTCACTGCTTTTGTTGAGGGACCCTATGGAAACCTCCACTCGCTTGACTCGTACGGCACTGTTCTCCTCTTTGCCGGTGGAGTGGGCATCACACACTGCCTGCCATTCATCCGCCATTTGGTGCAAGGATATAGCGATGGCACCGTCGCTGCCCGACGTGTCACTCTCGTATGGGTCATTCAGTCCCCAGAGCACCTGGACTGGATCCGACCATGGATGACCACGATACTCGGCATGGAAGGCCGGCGCGACGTGCTGCGGATCCAGCTGTTCGTAACACGCCCGAGAAACCCCCGTGAGATCAGGAGCCCCAGCGCGACCGTGCAGATGTTCCCGGGCCGGCCAGATGTGGGCACGCTCGTCCAGATGGATATTGACAATCAGATCGGGGCCATGGGCGTGATGGTCTGTGGCAATGGTGGCCTGAGCGATGATGTCCGCCGGGCTTGCCGACAGCGCCAGGGCCGTACCCAGTTGGATTATATTGAGGAGAGCTTTACCTGGTGATTCATTGCCCAACGCGCCTGTACCTATATAAATTTGTTTTCGATTTGTGACGTGCCAAGTAGATGAGCAGAATAGACCGTTGGCCGTCAAACTAACAAGCCGTAGCAAACCTAACTACCTTTACTAACAAATCACAGGGTCATCCATCTCCGTGGGCCACGAGAACTGCCATTACTCAGCCCAGCATCAACTGTAGACATCGACGACGCAGCCGATGATAATGAACAAACCTACCAAACATACACAGTAATAACAATACAACACACTGATTCGAGCTAGTTCTGCCTATACATCACTACTAATCTTCTCCATCATGCACCACCTTCCTCGCATACCCCAACCCAACCTCACACTGATACCGCCTAAACTGCCTCGTCGGCACTCCCGCCGCAAACATCTCATCCAGCTCCTCGAAACTCCTCCCCTTAGTCTCAGGCAGTTCAAAGAACAGAATCAACAATGTGACAGCTCCCATGCCCGCAAA